CTCTCTCTCTTCCATAAAAAGATAATCTCGTTTCCTTTGGTGATTCTGATGGATCTTCCGATGTTATAGTTAAAAAATTGTTTTTTGAGAATTTAGAGAAAGAGATGAATCAGGAGAAGGAAAACTTAAATAAAATGCGAATAAGAAGAAAGTTCAATATGTGTTGCTCTCTCTTCTCTTTAAAAAGATAATCTCGTTTCCTTTAGTGATTCTGATGGATCTTCCGATGTTATAGTTAAAAAATTGTTTTTTGAGAATTTAGAGAAAGAGATGAACCAGGAGAAGGAAAACTTAAATAATATGCGAATAAGAAGAAAGTTCAATATGTGTTGCTCTCTCTTCTCTTTAAAAAGATAATCTCGTTTCCTTTAGTGATTCTGATGGATCTTCCGATATTATAGTTAAAAAATTGTTTTTTGAGAATTTAGAGAAAGAGATGAACCAGAAGAGGGAAAACTTAAATAAAATGCGAATTAATAAGAGGAAAGTTCAATGTGTGTTACTCTCTCTCTCTCTCTCTCTCTCTCTCTCTCTCTCTCTCTCTCTCTCTCTCTCTCTCTCTCTCTTCGATAAAAAGATAATCTCGTTTCCTTTGGTGATTCTGATGGATCTTCCGATTTTAAGAATTAAAAAAATTATTTTTAGAGAATTAAAACAAGGATACCTTTTTCTCTGCCTCGTGATCTCGAAGAAAGAAAAAGTGGAGGCTAAGATGTGAATAAGAGAAAAGTTCAATATATGTTAATTCCTCTTTGCTAAAAAGATAATTTCGTTTTCTTAATAGAGTTTCTCCTAAATTTACCAATTTTAATATTTAAAAAGAAAATAATAAAGTTTAATGTTTGTTACCCTCTTTTCGCTAAAAAGATAATCTCGTTTCCTTGATACAGTGATTTTCGTTTTTGATCCTCCGATTTTAATATAAAAAAAAATAATTTGTAGAGAATTTAAAGAAAGAGAGAGATAGCTTTCTCTGCTGTAAAAGTGCCCCGTCAAAAAACGATAAACCAAGAGGAGAAAACTCGAAGAAAAGAAATGGGGGACTATGGAGTGCAAATAAAAGGTTACTCCTCTTCGCTAAAAATCTATCACGTTGGATCTTCGCTTTTAATATAAAAAAAAAATAATTTTTAGAGAAATTTACAAAGACAAAGAGATAACTTTTTTTTACCACACAATTAAAAAATTTCTGTTAAATTTAACAGATATCATATATCCCAAACGGTCCACATAAATTTTTTTGTTAATTTAACATAATATGGATATGTTGAATGGAGACACAAATATTGTGTTAATATTTTAACACAAAATAAATGGAAACTTCAAATAATTTGAAATCAATTTTGTGTAAAATTAACATACTTTTAATGTAGAAACTAATTAAAAGAGAATGTTAATTTTACATTTTATCATCCTTGCTTATATTATAAAAAAAAAACATTTTCTGTAAACTTTAACAGCTATATCTTATTACTAACAATACGAAATATATTTATTGTATAAAGTGAAAAATAGATGCATATTGTATTATTTTTACACTTTTTTCAATTGTTTTAATAATTTAACATTTAAGTTCAATTAACAGAACAGTAATATTAAATTAACACATAAATGTTTTAAATATTTAACACAAAAATTTTAACAGAACCATTTTTAACAAGAAATTTTTTTACTATGCAAGGTGTTTCTAAAACTATGTTAGAGATTTTAAGAGTGTATTCTAGAGATCAAAATAAGAGAAAAAGTTCGTATAAACGTGGGTCCAAAAATGTTGAGCAAAATTTCAACGATTTGTGAGAAAGTCTCCGAGAGCTAGAATATATTTTTCGATTTTTTCGCCAACTTTAGGGAGCTATAACTCGGAGGAAAAGCATTTTTGGATCCATGTTTATAGGAACCTTTTTCTTATTTCAAAATCTCTATCATAATTTTAGAAACACTCTGTAGATCACGAAGACTTTGAACGTGTCTTGTTTTGCCTCGCGCTGGGCCAGTTTGACGTTTAGTGTTTGACAGTTCTCCTGTCACGTGGCGGCGCGCCTCGGCCCCCTCCGACTTTCCGACGATAATTAGCGAAATGCGGGGAAAATGAAAGCGTTAAACGCGTCGCGGGGAACCGAAAGAATCGCCGCGATTTAATCAACAGAACAGTAATATTAAATTAACACATGAATGTTTTAAATATTTAACACAAAAATGTTAACGGGGACTTTTTTTTTTACAAGAAAAAAAATTTTTCCATTGTGCACGAAGGTGCGAGAAAAAGAGGAGGCTCATCTCGAGGAAAGGAAAAGGAGTCGCGAACTCACACGGACGTTTCTCTCGTCGCGGTCGCGATATGGAAAAAGAAAGAGAGAGACAGATGGAGAGAGAGAAAGAGAACGTAATACGTATATATAACGTATAAGCCGGTCCTAGGGCCCTGGATGAGCCGGCCGCGGACGCAACGGCATACAAAACTCGCTCAATACGTCATTCAGCCGAAGAATACGCCTCGTTCTCGCCATTTTGCTCCCAGAATGAGAGTTTCAAAGGGAATTAAGGATTCAAAGGCATCTTTTGCGCAGCGCGCATAAAACGTCCAGCCGCCACCGCGGCTCCGCGTCTCTCCCTCTCTCTCTCTCTATCTATCTCTCTCTCTCTCTGTCTCAATCTTTTCTCCTTATCTACTTCCGTCTTTCCCCTTTTCTCCTTCTGCGACTCCTCCGTAAGCGTCGCGCCTTGCGTTTCTACAACCTTCTCAAGAGAAGCTGTGAATCGCGCCACATCGATGAGATAGAGATCCCACAGAAGGATGTTAAGTCACCGAACAAAGTATCCGGCTCCAATTTATTTCATTTAGCGCACACATTTAGCGGTGAGCATGCCTGATGTCGGCTTTTCATCTCGCGTCTCACGGAAGAATTAAGTGAGCGATAAATTACGCAATTCTTCGATCGCGAAAAAAAAAATGATACATCTCTCCGGCTCAGCGTAAGATTTTTGAAATAATTTCTCGGGAAATGTTATATATTAAATATTTTTGTCAAATGTCTCAATAATCCTTAATCTATATCTACACTTATCTATAATAAAAAAAACTTAAATCTTCAGATTTATTTTCCATCAGAATTTCTGTTCCATCAGAAAATATCTTTCAGTTCAGATTGTGTATTAATTTTTATGGATATACTATTTTTTGGGATACTATAATTTATACAAATAAATAAAACGAGATTATATATTAATAGAATTCCATAAATGTCCAAGTGACCCTGAATATGTCTACATTTATCTATGATAAAAAGACACTCTTCAGATTTAATATTTGTTCAATCAAAAAATATATACAGGATAAATATAAATAAGTGCGAACAATTTCAGATGATTCTTTGTCAAAAATTAAGAAGGGTTTCTTATAAAAATATATACTTTTACATATATATTTCTCCCTGAGGAGTAATTAAGTTTTTATGTTTTTTCTCAAATTTCAGACAAATTGAAAATTGAAACTTGGTGAATATTTTCGTCTAATAAAAAGAATATTTATTAATATTAAAAAAAATAAAAACTAAAATTCTTATTTTCCATACTAATAAAAAGAATATTTATCAATGTTAAAAAAAATAAAAACTTTCCTAAAATTTTTCGCATTTATTTAGGTACACCCTGCATATATCTTTCAGCTTAGACAGTGCATTCATAAAAATTTAACATTTTCTGAATAATTTCTTAGGAATATTACACTGAAAAAAATTTATTAAATTAACAAATATTTAGTTCAATAATGCCAAATGAATCATTTATTTAAAACAAATAAATATTTATTTGTTTCAAAAAAGATTTTCTTATATCAAATAAATATTTTTCATATCAAATAAATATTATTAGTTTTAAATAAATGATTTATTGGCAGTATTGAAATAAATACTAATAAGAATTAAATAAATTTTTTTAGGGTACATATGATTACACTATTTTTGGTATACTATAATTTATACGTATAAATAAAACGAGGACATATTAATAGAATTCCATAAACGTCCACGTCACCGCTCAAATAGCCGGTCAAATGTCCTAGTGACTCCAAATCTGTCTATACTTATCTATGATAAAAAAAGAGGCTCACCCTTCATATTTGACGTTTGTTCGATCAAAAAAAAAAAAAAATGCGCCCTCATAATTCCACCCTCTGCGAGATGACCTTTCCTATTTACGGCGTTCGCGCGGAACAAATTCGGAGAGGCGATCGCTGTTTGCGCTAAAAGTTAACAAAAGGAGAGATGACGGTCGTTCCCGTCTGTCTAGGATTGCGCGATTAACATAAAAATGCGGCGCGGCTCGTAAAAGGCCACCGTATACATACATATATTATGAGCATTATGTATCGCGGGAGGATTATAGTTTCTGATTGTTATTCATATATGGTCGGTATAGCTCCTGACATTCGTGCCAACGCGTGTATCGAGTCAATATAACGTCAACATAACGCGAGTACAGGGGGACGAAAAATATTGCGCTGTGACACATTGATCATAATTTTCTGTTTATACAGAGTGTGAAATATTGAAATAAAATTAAATCTTATAATATTAAGAGAGAGATTATATTATCATTTTATAATATTATATAATATATATGTATTTATTAACTATAATTTTAATTATAATTCTATATTATATTTATATTAATATATAATATAATATATAATTCTATATTATAATTATAATTGTATATAAAATATAATATTATATTAATTTTTATTATAGAAAATTAATTTTTTATTTTTCTCAAAAACTTGTAGCTGCAATTTTCGCGGAAAAATGTTAAATCTCACGTTGCAAACATATTTATCTCCTATTTTATTTGTAAAGAGAAACTAACGAGTACAATTGTACTCGTTAGTTTCTCTTTACTAATATTCGTATTCTGTAGGGCTAATTTACTCTTTTGCCATTCTATGGTGCTCTTCCTTTTAACAGTATCAATCGTAACATGCGCAAATTTAAACGTTCACTCACCATTTTCTGCGCAGAAAGATGAAAGAATGTCCATTTGTCCAGTCTGAAACAACAAGTACATTTTACTGTTAGTAAAGCGAGAATAAAATATCATCGAAAATTATTAAATTACATGAAAAAAAAATTAGCTACCATAAGTAATATATTAATTAATATTTTAAGCTATAATAAAAAATTCTTCGTTAAATCATAGTTAAACATTATTTTAAAAATATGAATCACCACAGCTAAAATTAATAGAGGTATTTAAAATTTACCTATAATAGCTAATATTTTTTTTATGTACTCTATAACAATTATTTATTAATTTGATTATTTATTAATTAGATCAATTGTTTATTAATTATTTATTAATTTTCCTGTAGACAAACTAATTTGCGAGCTGTAGAAAAAAATAAATGTTCTATACATCGAAGGAAAAAAACACAACAAATATACCCCCAACTTGTCACTAATAAAACAGAACATATTTATTGTGTAAAATTAAAAGTAGGTGCACATTGTGTTATTTTTCCATCTTTTTCAGTTGTTTCAATAATTTAACATTTAAATTCAATTACCAGAACAGTCACATGTTAAATTAGCACCTGAATGTTAAATTAACACAAAAATGTTAACAGGGACCGTTTTTAACAAGAAAACACAAATCGAAGGAAGAAAGCACAGCAAATATCGCCCCTAACTTAGATAGCGAATAATTCGAAATTTCAATTCTCGCACGTCTGATTACGATCGACACAAACGTTCGCTCTTATTCGAAGGCTGGCGACGAGAAATCGAGTCGTTCTCGTCACCCCGTCGAACATCCCTACATACATCGGTATTCTTTCCATAGGCTGCACACACTCTCGGTGCATTATATTTTTCGTTTTATATTCTCCTCTCCTATTTGCGCGCCCCCGCCACGTTTGAGCATTGCCGAGGCCTTATCGGCAGTTATCGGGCCGTGATGTCGCACAATGGGGCAGACAATGCACGGGACAATACACCCTCTGCTTCTAGACTATCCGGCCCTCTCACCCGGGGCATCCACCGCCCAACCCGTCGCGTCGACTTCTCTCTTGGAGAATCAGCACATCCCCGCCAACTTAATAAACATAATAGCTGACTGTGCCGCCCCGTGGTCACAATGAGAGCTCCGAGCAAAGAGATACCAAAGATACGAGGCACCGGCATTGTGCGCCCTGCTCTTTCTCCGTCTATCTCTCTCTTCCAACCCCCGTCGAACGGATTATATGTCGACGTGCCGTCGCGCGTTTGCCATTCACCAAAGTTTTTGGAAAGAATGAGAGAGAAAAGAAAGGAATCTTTGTTGCCTGGATGAAAGAGATTCGATTTTAATTGTTATCGGATAATGGCAAGTTAATGGAGAGATATAATTAAATATTTATAGCGCTTTTTTCAGTTTTTTATTATATATATTATATATATATATATATATATATATATATATATTATTATATACTATATTAAGTAATTACATAGTATATTGTGTATCAAGTGCGGAAAGTTGACAATTGGTCACGAGTGTGAGGGATGGACCACCCCACACGAGTGAACAATTGTCAATCCGCACGTGATACACATACTATTTTGTATTACAAGTGCAGGCAAAGTGGCTTTGTGCGCGTTTTCTGTGCGCGAGGTGGCGCACGCCGCCATCTTGCGGCGGCACGGTGCGGGAATAGCCGTGTTCAAAGTCATTGCCCACGGCTAAAGCCGTGGACAATGACTTTGAACGCGGCTCAGCCGTAGGCAATGGCTTTAAATGCGGCTTATTCACTCACCGCGTCGCCGCTAGATGGCGGCGTGGGAAATCGGCCGCTTTCCGCACAGAAAACACGCACACAAAGTGCTACTTTGCCAGCACGTGTAATACAAATGTATATTATTATATATTTTATATGGAATTGTACATATATGTACAGTAGGAAAATTTGCTTCTAAAATTTTTGTGTTACATATTTTACACATCCATGTGTTCATCTAACATATTATATTAATTTAATTTAAATTAAATGTTAGATTGGTAAAACAACTGAAAAATAACACAATATGCATCTATTTTTAATTTTGCACAATAAATATGTTTTCTTTTATTAGTGACAAGATTTATCTGTTTAAGTATATATTTAAAAATATTTGATTTTTTATTTTATAGTATAAGTGAAGATGATAAAATCTAAAATTAACATATTTTTTGTTAATTTTTACATTCAAACTATGTTAATTTAACGCAAAATTTATTTTAAATTATTTGAAGTTTTGCATTTATTTTGTGTTAAAAGATTAACACAGTATTTGTGTCTCTATTTAACATATCCATATTAACACAAAAATTTCTGTGGACCATTTGAAACATGTAATATCTAAAATTTAACATAAATTTTTCAACTGTGTGAGCATTTTTCCCTAATGACAGTTCAAATCGTGCTAATCGTAATTCATTCTTCGTGTAAATATTCATTAAAAAATCATTTGCATATTATTTATTTTAATAGATTTATATTTATTTAAACAATTTCATTTAATTTAATAAATTTACATTTATTTAAATAATTTTTATTTATTTTAATAAATGTATATTTATTTAAACAATTTTTATTTATTTTATTTCACGATAAAATTTTTGACAAACAAAGATGGGAAGTGAGAGAAAAATGTAGGTAAAAAAAAAAAAATGTCGAATTGCGCGACACGGGCATTTGTCTTTCGACACGATTCTCCTCTCCCGGTCGCGGTTTGATTTCGAAGGGTGAATTGCCGCACGCATCATCGGATCGACTCCACACGCCCTCGTGTGTGTATATATACTCCCACTATACTCGACCTACCGCGGGTTACCCGAACCACCCTTCGCGACCGAACAATATGCTTGTCCTCCCCGCCGCCGTGTAATTACTCTAAACCACGTGCCGCTGCAGAGAGAGAGAGAACGAGAAGAGAATGTATGTAAAGGAGAAATAAAGAGAGCGTAAGCTGATGCACGAGCCATTGAAAAACGCAGTCGAGCGCCCATTATTTCGAGAACTTTTCACTTTAAAAGTGCGTCCGCGATGCCACACACAACTGTGCATATTATTATATGAAACTCGAAATGAGTTGCAACCTAAGATACAAGTTACTCGTGATTAATCGTCGCAACGATAAAAGTGGACATTAAATTTGTATCGAGCTAAAAATGCGATAATTCAATAAAATAATTCATATTTAAATATAAGTAGATAAAATACATACACCTGCATATAAAATTATACATATACAAGTAAATATAAATTTAAATGTAAATTAATTGACAATTTTGAAAAATGCAAATATAAATAAAAATCAAAATTAAAATAATTTTAGCAATATTTTCGCTATAAATATTTTTTCTTAAAATATCCTTTATACATACACAATTGAAAAATTTCTGTTAAATTTAACAGATATTATGTCCCAAACGGTCCACAGAAATTTTTGTGTTAATTTAACATTATATGAATATATTACATGGAGACACAAATATTGTGTTAATATTTTCACACAAAATAAATGCAAAACTTTAAATAATTTAAAATTAATTTTGTGTAAAATTAACATACTGTTAAAAATTAACAAAAAATATGTTAATTTTAGATTTTATCATCCCCACTTATATTATAAAATAAAAAATCAAAATTTTTTTCTGTCAATTTTAACAGACAAATCTTGTCACTAATAAAGCAAAACATATTTATTGTGTGAAATTAAAAATAGATGCACATGGTGTTATTTTTACATTTTTTTCAGTTCTTTTAATAATTTAATATTTAAGTTCAATTAACAGAACAGTAATATATTAAATTAACACATAAATGTGTTAAATATTTAACCCAAAATTTTAACGAGGACCGTTTTTAACAAAAAAACACAAATTTTTCTACTGTGCATATATCATTAATACTTTTTAATGATATTCCTGCGCCATCAAAATTGATGCGATATTTTGTTTATGTAAATGAACGGAAGCATACGCGACATCTACAATTGCAGGTTGATATCGACAGACAGATTTCCATGCGACATCTTGCGCTTGTTTCCTGGCGCTCCGATCGTATCTTTGAAACGACATCGGAGAAACGTTAATTAAACGAGCAGATGCGTCGAGGAAATAGTAAATCACACAACCCCGCGCAAATAGAGACCGTTCGGAGAATCGCGTCGTATCGTCCCAGGAATATCGGGATAATGATAAATCGTTCGTTCAAACCGACCCCTTCTAGGCCACATTATAACTCGCTGAAAGGGTCGTGGAATATATTGTGTACATCCCTCTATTAAAGTGAACTCAAATAAAGCGGTGTTTATAAGGGGCTAAAAAATCTTATCGATAAGGTCGCGGTCCCTCGATTGTTTTCAAATCGAGACAGATGCTTTTTTAGTTAATGCACACTCATCGAAAGTGGTTCTATAAATACGTATATTTGTTGAAAATGTAGAATCATTAAAGGAATTTTATTATCACAAATTTGGAATTTAAATTTCGCGGCCTCTTGATTTTTTTGAATGTTCCCAACTCGCTATTAAAAATTAATATACATCTCTCTGATAGAAGCATAAAGTTTCAAATAATTGATATTTCAAAATTTTTAGCATAAGATTGTGGTCTTTCAAGTGTTCCCAAATAAGATACATGCTTTTTTATTAATACACACTCATAGAAAGCAATACTATAAATATACGTATAAAATTTGAATTTGTCGAAAATATAAAATCGTTGAAAGAATTTTATTATCACAAATTTAGAAGAAAATAACAATTTATTTACTTTCAATTTTTGTTTTGAATATTTCCCGATTCACAATTAATGAAAATATATATTCCTCTGATAAAAGCAGAAAGCGAACTTAAATAAAGCGATGTTTAAAGGGCTAAAAATTCTTATCAATAAAGATGTATTTTCTCAATAATTTCAAAATCAGACTGATAGATTTTTTAGTTGAATACATTTATCTAAAGCGATATAAATACGTATAAAATTCAAATTTGTTAACAATATAGAATCGTTAAAAAAATTTATTG